AGGTAGTGTAACGTACCTGGCTGGCACAAACAGCTTGTATTCAAGTGGTTTGAACCTGCCCAGTGACACCATGGAAGAAAAGGCCTGGTGATCTGTTTCCATAAAAATTACAGCCAAGAAAACCCCATGGAGCATTTCTACTCTGTAATACACATGGATCACCATGAGTCAGAATCCACTCAACGGCAAAAGACAATAACCCAATAGTATTTTTTGTCTGTTGTAATGTTATTTAAACTTCATTCTCATTTTGTACTTTTCTTTTACCATGGTTCCTTCTCCCTCTTTTTGTAGTCTTTTTGTTTTGGTTAAAGATTTTTTTCTTTTTTGTTGTTGTTCTATTTCTTTTTCCCTAAAAGTAATTTGGAGCTATATGAACTTCTATTCTAGGAGCTGTTTAAAAGTTTGGCAGGCATATTTAAATTTAAAAAGTTGTCATCAACAAATGATCACCTTTTGTAACCTCACTTTCCCTTCTTTCTAAAAGGTACATCCATTATCAAGCTTTTAATTATTATTCTATCTACTACTCTATATACTATTGCTGAAATGACCTGCATTTTCATTCCAGATGAGTATTGTTAGTAAATAGTATTAGCATTATTAGTATTATTATCCATATTTTACAGGAAGACCCTATTATCAAATGTATGACATTTTACTACCAAATTAGCAACTATTATTTAAATTTGAGTTGTATTTTCCTGGCTTATTTGCTCTGGATTTTGTGTGTTATGTCCGAGTCATTGTATTTCTTGAATTCTTATTCCTATTTTTCTAGAGTACATCCTCAATTAAGTTTTGCTTTTGTATTACCTGAGAGGCTGTAAGTAGAATACTTTCTGAGTCTTTGCTTACCCCTCAAAACATTTCCACTTGTCTTTACACTTGATGCAGAATTATCCTGATTATGAAGTTTCAGGTTGAAATAATTTTTATGTAAATACATATGATCATTTATCTCCTAAAATTCTTCATGTTGGTGAGTCAGAGTAATTTCCCTTTTTAGAAATAAAATTGCTCACCTCCCTACAAGTTCCTCTTTCTTAAGTGTTTATTGCTATTGGTTCCCCAATTGGCCCAACATAGAAATGAGAACTCCAGTTTTTTAGTTCATCAGGATGTTTATAGAGATATATATTTTTAAATCAATGATAACCATTTTTATAACTATAAATTCCATTTATTGGGCAAAAATTCTAATTTCTGATGCTTTATTTACCAATGATACAATTTGCTCCTGTGCTTTAAAATATGTGGTATATTTTCTTCCATTTATGCTAATACCTTAGACTGGCCATGTAGCCAAGAGTACTGTATTTCCCTGTCTTTCTCAGAAAACAATGCTATGGGTGCCTGCCCTCTTAATCACTCCCACTTGCCCTTAGCTTTCTGATCAGCAGACCCACAGAGTACTGGTATCTTCCTTAGGGTATTTTTAAAGGCTCATTACTGGTCTTTGAGACTTTACCAAGAGCAAGTATGAATTCTCTTGTGGTCCACCTGATTTCTTCTTAGCACATACCCTCATATGCTTTGGAGATTCCTCTGTCCTCTTCACTTGACATACTATGTCCTAAGTCATGGTGAGAAATTCAGGATTGTCAGGTAGAAGGTAAAATTATAGTGCTATAGATTAGATGCACTATATTGTACTCTAGCAAGTTTGGACAAGGATTATAACCTGATGCCTACAACTACACTGACACTTGATGACTCTCTCAATGTTTCTGCTGACTTTGCCCTGGACTTCCTCTCAAAGTTAGGCTTTACTGTAGTACCAGATTCTGAAAACCTTGTCTCCCACTTTGTATTAGTTTCTGAGGGCTTCTACAACAACTACCCACAAACTGAGTGGCTCAAAATAATAGAAATTTATTTTTTCCTAGTTATAGAAGCTAGAAGTCTGAAATTAAGGTGTTGGCAAGGGCCATGATCCTTCCAAAGGCTCTACAGAAGACTCCTTCCTTGCCTCTTCCTAGCTTCTGGTAGTTGCTAGCAACCTTTGGGATTCTTTAGCTTATAGATAAATTACTCTAATATCTGCCTCTGTCTTCACATGACCTTCTTCCTTCTGTGTGTCTGTGTGTCTTCAAATCTCCATCTCCTTATAGGGACACAAGTCCTTGGATTTAGAGACCACCTTAATTCTTTCTGATATCTTAATTTGACTGCATTTGCCAAAACCTTATGTCTTAGTTTCTTGGTGTTGCTATAACAGAAATACCACAAATGAGGGGTTTTAAGGATCAAAAATTTATTTTCTCATAGTTTAGGAAGCTAGAAGCCCAAATATTGGCTCTAAGAGAAGGCTTTCTATCTGCTCTGGGGAAAAATCCTGGTGTGGGCTTCTCTAGCATTCTTGGCATTCCTTGGAGATCTCCATATGGCATCTATCTTTCCCCAACTTGTGCTTCCTTATTTCTCCTCTCTGTGTCTATGCTGCTTCTTATATGAGTCAGGAGTGACAGGTTTAGGATACATCCTGCACTGACATGACCTCAATAATATAACAAAAAAAAAAAAAACTATTCTCAAATGGGATTGCATCCACCAGTCTAGTGGCTAGAATCCAATACATACTTTGGGAGAGAAAGTGCACAATTCAATCCATAACACCCTACTTCAAAATAAGGTCTCATTCACAGGTTCTGGGGCTTAAGACTTCAGCATATCTTCTTGGGAGATACAATTCGGAACCTACCTTTCCTCAAGCTTTCTCTCTAATTGCTACCCAAGCTGCCTCTAGCATTGTAGGTCTTAGATGTCAGTGTCTCCACTCATCCTCTGATACAGACTGCATAAAGTTGTGAGTATATTAGAATATACCCACTTAGAGTGCATCAGAAGCCTTGGTGGCACAGTGGTTAAGTGCTCAGATGTAACTGAAAAGTCAGCTGTTCAAACCCACCAACAGCTCCATGGCAGAAGAGACCTGGCAATTTCTGCCATATAGACTACGAGCCTAGGAAACCCTATGAAGCAGTACTACTCTGTCTTATAGCATCACTTGACAGTACACACAAACAATAACAGGGTACATCAACATATGAAGTGTGATAGACATACTGATTCTGGCCTCTGGTCACTCTATGTATGCCTCTATCCCCCTTTAGGTAGGAGGACACACCATGCTCCCCATCCGTTGGATGCCCCCTGAGAGCATCATGTACCGGAAATTCACTACGGAGAGTGATGTGTGGAGCTTTGGGGTAATACTTTGGGAGATCTTCACCTATGGAAAGCAGCCATGGTTCCAGCTCTCAAACACAGAGGTAAAGAAGGAAGAAAATAGGAAACTTAATTTTTGTTTATTTGTTTGTGTATGTATTTTTTGTGTGTGTGCTAAAATATATATAACAGAACGTTAGCTGGCTCAACCATTATTTGCATTACATGTAAATTCAATGACACTGGTTACATTCACTCACCATGTTGTGCAACCATCACCACTGTTTGTTTCCAAATCTTTTCATCACCACAAACAGAAACTCAATGCTCTTAAGCACTGGGAAGTTATTGCTTAAGGGAAACTTGATTTTTGGGAAGGCTGGTGGGAGATATCGCAAACCATGACTTGTGCACAAAATATTGGATGGGGTTTTGAGCCAGCAGAGTGAGTGTAGGTATAAGCAAAGAAGTTACAGGGAAGAATTTCTTGCAAGGAAAAAAAAATTAAAACAGTAGGAAATAAGGTATGTTGTTGTTGTTGTTTTGTGCCGTCGAGTTGACCTGACTCATAGCGACCCCTCCTTGGGTTTCTGAGGCAGTATCACTACAGAAGTAGATTGCCCCATCTTCCTTCCAAGGAGTGGCTGGTGAATTTGATCCTCTAGACTTCATAAGGTATAAATGTCAAAAAAGCATAAACTCAGATGTCTAAATTAAAAATCAACAATGTTTGACTAAGACAGGAAACGAAAACAAAGAAAAAGTATGAGTTTTTTAATTGTGCATTCTTGTGGAAACATCTACTATTTAGTATCCCTAAATAAACTGGGTCCCCAAAGGTTTTAGGCATGCTAGGACCAAGGATATAAAGGATGGTGAATTGGGAAGACAAATTTCAGATTATTGATGAAGCTGCATGTGGAGTTACATCAGTACAATGAAACTAAATAATAATAAATAACAGTAATAATTCAAATTCAGGTTTTAATAATTTGAATTTACAATAGAAATAAATTTTAATAGTAGCTAACATTCAGTGCCAAGGAGCTCTCGTGGTGTAGTGGTCATGGCATTTGACTGCTAAGCAAAAGGTCAGTAGTTCAAACCCACCAGCTGCTCCATGGGACAAAGATGAGGCAGTATGCTTCTGTAAACATTTACAGCCTTGGAAACCCAATGGGGCTTGCAATGAGTTGGAACTGACTCAATGGCAGTGAGTGTGGTTTTTTGTTTGGTTTAACATTTAGTTCCAGACATTTTTCTAAACATTTAAAAAATGTTAACTAATTTATTTTCACAAAAACACTAAGATGACCTGTTGAGATTGAGGACAAAGGGAGGGCAACTCTTTGGGTTCTTGAAGTAGACTGGCCAACATCTCAGAGGTGGTAGCCTTCAAGCAGGGAGAAAGTTTGGGGAATGGTCACATGTCTCCTGAGCTTTCAAGACCAAGCATGATGCTTTCTGGCTATGTCTGGAATGAGAAGAACCTTGGCTAAAGAGATTTGGTGTAGTTTGTAGACCATAACTAGACTAGGTTTCCCAACACAGACCTTCGAGAAGTTCTTTTTATAGTCTCTTGTTTTCTGGGAAAAAAATGGACTGAAGTAACTTTAAATATTGGAGTCTTATCTAAATGTTCAAGAAAGTCTTTCTTCACTGCTTCTATGCCCTGACCACTTAATGAAATGAATTTCAAAGGCTGAAAAGAAGGCATTTCTTTCAATCTATAATATCCCAACATTCACAATTTCAGTGGGGCCTGACTACATTTCTCAAGTGGCTC